TGGGAAGGTCTGTGTTGCTGCCTGCCTGCAGCGCCCAGCAGCACCTGTGAGGTGTTGGGGGTCAGCCAGGCTGCGGTGTCCTCAGGGTATCTGGTGTTCTGCGAGTCCTTGGGCCTTCCGGTGAGGCACCCCTTCTGCTTGTTCAGGACAGCCTCTGGGAACGGGAAGTCCTCAAGCCTTGCGGGGCTCCCTCATCCCATGCTTCATGGTGGCCCTGGTGGACATCAGAGCTGGTGCCCTCCTGAGCAGGCTTCATCCCGACCAGTGCGTGATCCCACCCGCCTGCCCCACAGAGGGCTTTGCTCTCACTACAGGCCCTTTCTGGAGGAGTAAAAGAGGGGCATGCGTTTTTGGCTGCCCTTTTAGCCAAGAGCAAGGTGTTGTTCATTTCATTGCACCTTTTCTGAACACACACAGTACCAGGATGAAATAACCCTTTTTCTTTTTTTTTCCTTTTCAGTTTTGGAACAGCTTTCCAGTGATGTCATACACTTAAACTTGCATGAGGGTGTCCTAATGCATAAGGAGAGAGGAGCTGAGAGAATGGGGGAAGAGCAAGACCAGGGATCTGGTATTTAATCTCAGCTCTGTTACTGACCAGCAGACATCCAAGACTTGACTCTGTGTGCGCTTTAGCGTCTCCTTCCATAAATTGATGACAGAAACCAATTGCAATGCCTTTTTAGATCTTTTATAAAGTTTTCAATTAAAAAAATACAACATTTTGTTTGGGGAATTCTTCATCACTGTTATAAGTATGCTTATTCACTATTAGCATTCCATGTTTAAGTCCTAAAAAATTTCTCAAACACTGTCTCTAAAAGAAAGTAAAATGAATAAAAGCCAAGATTTTATTCTTCCTAAGAAGAATTAAAACTATTCAATCCCTTAGACTATTTTCAAATAACACTAATGAAAACAAGGTCTAGTCATTATATTTATCAAATGTTATTATATATTTGATATGAAATATATATATTATATATATTACTCCATAATAATTTAGGGTTTGTCCTTTTAGGATCTTTGGCCCTGGCTGATGACCTCAATGCAAAGCCACTGTCTGAAGGGAAGAGAGATTTGGAAAAAGAATCTACAACAAATGTATGTTCAATTTTTTGGTGATATTTCTCAACGTGCTGAGGTATTCTACATAGTGAGCGGTATTTATGAAGCACCCAGAGTTTTTCCAGATTTTATTTTTAGAATTTCTGAATGATAGAGAGCTTGTAACTAGGCCATAAAACATGATATGTGCAATTTTGTTTAATATTTTTCCTAAGGGACAAAACTCCTAAAAAAGAATGTAGTAGAAATTTAAACATTCAAATTAATTTCAAACACTTTCTAGTCTTAATTGTCTCCAGATTTTGATTGGGGTTTTTTAATTAAATGTTAAAGGAAGGGAATATGATGTCCAAAATAAGCCAAAAGATGTTGATTATAAAATAATTACCTATACAGACATAAATGTTCCTGGGCAGGTATTAACCGATTCATTGATATTCAGTGCTAGTAATGACATTGATTTCTTTTACGCACGTTAATGTCACAATAGCTCCATCTTGTGGTTGACTGAATATTACTTGACGATAAGGTCGAAAATGGAAAAAAGGAGAGGAAATTTTGTAAAAACAAACAAACAAAAAGGAACAGAAAACAAAAATAAAGCCTGAGTGTTTAGTAGTTGCCTTCAGTAGTTGCAATTTGCCAGATCTAAGTGGATAATTATAAAAGGGGGGGAGTTTTAGTTAAAAATATTATTTATGAAAAACAATTTTAAAAAATCATAATAATAATTAGTATTAGCTGGATTACTGAGTTTCTGAATCATATGTACACTGCCAGGTATGTTTCGTTTGTGTATGTTTACAGGCATTCAAAAATGCTGCTGCTGATCAGCGGTTTAACCTTGAAGCTGCGATTAAAAATGTTGACAAAATGTCCAATGAGCTGAAGAAACTAAATGGTAATTCTGAGTTCACCATCCAGCTAAACAAGAAGCTGTTTAAGGCATCATTTTAAAAAGTGTGCAGTTGTGAATGGTTTTCTATGTCATACAACTGTTTTTTAATCTAATGAAACAATACAGTTGCTCTTTTATTTTGAAAAATGAATGAAACAGTAGTTATATAGAAATGGAATCATGTTAGCTAACTGTGGAAACAATCTGTTGGGTAGTCAAAGTCATTCCTTTGCAGGAACATAATAGTCTCCTAAAGGAAATATTAACAGTATGCTAATACCAAAATTTATTTAACCGTCTTGAAGTAACAAAATAAGGCAACCATCAAATTTTTGAAAGAGTTAATAGATGAACACTTCAAAAAGTGCTGTATATAAATTGTCATTCACTTAGCATCTACCATTCAATAAATACAATATGTTGTCCTTTGTCTTTCAGTGGAAAGCCAGCTACTGCTTTGTGACCTTATTTTGAATTTCAACCATCCTATGAAGGCCAAAAATTTAAGAGAAGCTGAAGAAAAAACTTGGAGTTTGACAGATTAAGTAATAATATCCATTTTCATGCATCATCTTCTATTAATACTGCTTCACTTTGAACTGTAAAATGACAGTATGGTTTTCTGCACTTGGGTTCTTTTTAATTTAAACTGCAAATGTGGAGTAGAAAAATGCTATAAGTAGGTTATTGATTTTGAGAGGGTTTTTTTAACCCAAATTTCCCAAATTAAGCCCACTAGGCCTGGAAAGACTGATACAATTAACTAGAAAGGTCAGGAAACTGGGCATGAAGTTTTTCCAGGAAACCGGGCATGAAATTTTTCATATGTGTTTTTTTCCTTTTAAACAAAGACATACTGAAACAGTAACAAAAGATTTTAGATTACTTCAAGTCAAGTCATTGCCATCTTATCTCAGTTGTGCTCCAGAAAATGGGATAAGAAACAGCTAGTAAAGGAGGAACTGCAACTTGTCATTTGATCTGCCTTCCTCATTCTAAAAATGTTGCTGAGGAAGGAGGCCAAAGAGCAGATTACCTCAGGAAAACCGAAAGTACTTTCATTCTAGTTTCTGTAGTGACTCTCTAATACACCTAGTTACAAAAGAAAGAAAGAGTTGGCAGTCTAAATACTCTATCCTGAAATCTTCTTGGCCCAAAATTTGAGTAGCCAGGTTTTTTGCATAGATCATTACAATTAATAGTCAATCATACTTTACTTGTGGGCATGTTTGAATGTTGAGGTGTGGTTTTATTCATATACAAAATATATTTGCCTGAATAATCAAACCAAGATTTACTCCGCTGAAAAAAATATGTAGTGTTGCAATTTGTTATGCTGGTTTATGTTTGATTTTGCTTTCACTAATGAGATCATTTGAAACAAATAAAACACGATTCCATAGGAGGTATTTCTAGGTTGTCACTTCTCAAGGCAGTGCAACAGAATAGAATTACAACCTCCAGCTCACAGAATCAGTGGTAATATGGAGGATGTTGTTCTTAATTTTAGCACATTTTGAAAAACATACATTAAAAATTACTTTTCTTTCACAAGATTAGTAGTGAGCTTTTGAAAAATATTGGGCTAGAAACAGGTTTTGACAGCTGAAGAATTTTTACAATTTTTTTTTCATCTTTATTTTTGATTCATAGTTGCATGGAAATGAAATTCACTAACTTTGAATTCCAGCTCCTAGCTAAATATATTAGAAAGGAAGATAACATTTACAAAACATACATATTTAAAGTAAAACTGTTCGTGAAATCTGATTAGCTTATCTGAGAATCTATACAGATTACACAAAGGTATTTATCTGCCTTGAATTTTGATTTGTGTTTCAAGTGATATGCACACAAATGGCTTTAAAGGAGGAAAAGTGTGACAAAGTCGAACATAATTATCAAACCAAGGTCTTGTCAGAAAAAAAAAAGGTTTCTAGAAAACCGAGGCAAAGAGTTGGACAAGTCCCACTTAACAAAGGAGAGGGAAAACCTCTTGTTACAGTATGCTTCCGTGGTCCTCAGTTGCCACTTACATTTTTAGAACTGAGAATGTTACTGTTTTTCTTGAAAAAATACAGTAAAACCAGAAAGCAGTTGTATAAGAGGAACTAAGTTTAGCCTGATTGTGTGTCTCTGCTTTCTAAGAGATTTGGGCGTGTTCTGCCAATTAAGAATCACATGATGATAATCTTGTTGATGTGTGTCTTATAAAAAAGTAGTTGCTTAACTGAGAGTCAGAAAGACGGAACTGAAGAGAAAAGTTTGTTTCTGAGTGAAGTTAGAGGATCCTAGGAGATCCATGATTCCAGTTTGGAGGCTAAGACATGCCGTCAGTGAATGGCAGAGAGAACATGGTATCTGTAGATATTTTATTTTTCTAGAAAAGTGTGAACAAAGACAGTTTCATAGCTGAATAACACAGACATGGATCTCGACAGGCAGCTGCATATCCAGGGTTGGGGGTTTTTTTCGGTATTGCTGAAACTTGGGTGTCTTTAGGATCCAGGTTGGAGTCCCAGTCTTTTTGTAGAAGTGGCTATAGTTAGATTTCTTTGGAAGTGGATTGGGGGGAAAAATTGGGGGTTTATTGTCTTTCGTCTACTCCTAAACTTTGACAAGGTTTGGGTTTTCTATGTATCACTTTAAATAACATAATTGCTGCTGCAGTTCTGATCTGAAAAATAGCTTGCTTTTCTTTTTCCTCCAATGAAAGCAGGCTTTTATTGGTGTTTACTTCTGGGTCCTCTGATTTGGCATGGAAATCATTTCAAGAAGATACACGTATGTTGGAAGATAAAAATTTCTCATGTACTGTAAGATTAGTGGGCAGTAATAAACACATTGTAGGAAAATCAGATTTATAGAGTACTGCATTTAAGGCATAATTTAAAAATAACATTGTCCTTTTTCCTTAAAATTAAAAGAATTTTTAATGAATTAATGATTTTAGTTTGCTGAAAAAAGAAATATCTTGAAGTTTCCAAACTTCAGTAGGCTTCAATACTATATGTAATCTTCGTTAAGGTCTCATTTAAATGTGTCCTGCAGCATACCTTAACATGCACTGGTTTCTTGAACCTCTGTCTTTTCCATCAATCAGAAGAAGAGGTGTTCTTTGGAAGTAATCAATGATATCTGCTACAGAAGAAAAATCCTGTGGGATGGAAAGAAGAAGGCTATGGCAAAACCGTCAGAATTATTAGTAGTTAGTAAAACAAAAAGTGGGTTTTTTTGAACTCTAAATATTTAGCCATCTTACAAGGTCCCATAAATACTATCAGATCAGCTGTTTTCATTCCTGCCATAATCTGTAGCTCAATAACTGTTAATCTAGTGTGTGTACAACCTACTGCAATGTTGTATAGTTAATTTAAGCAGTCTAGGCCTGTTTAATACATGATGCTGTCATTCTGCTTGACATGATGATTGCACCTGAAAGTTCAAAAAGTTGAGTGATAAATTCAGAGAGTCCTGACTTGATGGGAACTGCAGTACGGGTGCTGACCCGTCTGTCTGGTGCCAGTAAATCCAACGCAGTACTGCTGGGCGTAAGTAAAGCAGCAGTCTGGAAGCAAGGCAGTAAAGTTGGCAGATAAGGATTTGCTCTCAACTGTTTATTTCCCTTATCTTGGTGGTAAACAAACATTCCCTAAGCAGGTATATGGATCTCTAGTAGCTGTAGTCTAAGGCTATCCCTTCATTCCCTGAGTGCAAACAGGAGAATCTGATTTTACTTCCAGCAGTAACATATTCTATCAGGAATAACTCTAAGACAATTAGCAGAATTCCACTGGAGTAAAACAGCTGCCAGGTTAAGTAGCCTGGCACTTAAGAATGAGACAGGAGATACCTTAAGATGAAAGGAAGTAGTGTGAAAAACACGTAGTACCTCTTTTCCTTTTAAGCCGGTTCCTAACACATATATGTGATTTTGCTCCTGATACCGAATCTGGATGTTGTATACCTTATCTCTGTACAACACCATCAGTACATATGGGTGAGTTGCAGTTTTTCTTGAGCTGTCTCTTACCAAGAATGTTCCATCCTGAAAGATGAAAAAATGAAAGATGACAAATGTATGTCACTGCTGGGTTTGATCAGCATAACAACCTTAGCTAGAGTACTCATGCTTTTAAGTGTTTTTTCTTTCTGAAATCTCTTTCCTTCTGGTAAGAGAAACTGCACAATTACAGAATTTATGTCATTTCTCAAATGTTTTATCTTTCAATTTGCTACTTAAAACTTTCCTGCCTGATACAAATGCAGATTTTTAAGGAAGGGAGGAATGGTGTTCTATGAGGGAGAGATTCCATTAAAGGAGAAAGTGAACTATCAAAGGCCAAGCCTCATGTCACTTTAGCCACAAGTTAATTTCTGATAAGTGCCAATCAAGGTTCCTATGTGATCTATTTACAGACGGCCTAAAATAATGACAGTGTCTGTGTAACTTTGGTAAAGGCAATGACATTGTGTCTGTCTCTCTCGCTGCTTTTCTTCGTTTCAGATCTCATTTAACAAGTCTTCCATTGAAACACCCTTTCTTAAAGGCATTGAATATGACCTCATCAGCTGGTCCTTAGTACAAGTCATTGAAATGCTGTACGTGTCATCTGCAGCTTATTGCCTCTGTTGTGAAGCATCATAGAGTGAACAGATGTCCCACAGTGATGGGATACAATTTGGTTTATCTCCACACATGCAGTTAAGCCTGGGTTTCATTTGTTTGAGTCTGTACTTCATTTTGCTGGTAAATATGGCCTAGAAAAGGGTGGGATTCATCTCATCTACCTCAAGCCACCTGAAACTTGGAATTTGCAACAAATTCCTCACTGCTGACAGAGAACTATTTCCAGAGAACAAGTCACTCCTCCTCAGAGAGGCAAGGTGAAACCTCTTTCTGGAGACACAGAATTTGTTCTCTTGGACTGTGGAAAATAACAGCTTTCATGGCTGATTTATATTAGATGTGTAACTTCCATGTGGGTAAAGCTATTCAAGGTGAATCTCTCACTCTGAGTATCTATATTGGGGCTCTCACTTTACCACGTTATTCACCTTCACTCTTGCGTATGACTGCAAGGACATCTAGCTAGGAGATGGTGAGAATCACCAACAATTTAAAGAGTACCTTGTTTATTTTTCGAAGAGCTGCTTCTGCTTCTGGCCGGCTAACATAAGCAACGTACCATTCATCATTTAGTGAGCCCTGTGGTTTTTGTGAGAGAGGATAAAGGAAAAAGCTGTCAATGAATTAGCTTGTGATGTTAACAACATACAAATAAGTAGAGAGAAGTTTGGATGTGAGGCATATTTGGGTTTACGTGGAGAATCTCTGCAGGTATGAGCTTCAGGGATTTTACTGGTATATATAACTGTACGGTAAGTGGCACTAAATGATTTTAAAATCATTTGCTCACTTTGAAAATTTGAAAATATTACAGACCTAGCTATAATATGTCTGCAAGTTAGCAAGGAAAACAGCTATCTCCAAATGTTTTCAGTAAAAGATAGATTTTAAGTGACATTTTCTCTTTTGTCTGCCTGGAACACACATCCTTTGCCTTTGTTTCTCTGTTGTTTTTTTTTAATTATTTTATTTTTTTCTTTTTTAACTATCATCTGAGACAATAATGCAGACTTCCTGTGAACATACCACATATGGTTGCCCAGCAGTGTTATCGCCAGGAGTGCTTTGCTCTAAACTTGTCATATTTAAAGAAATGTGAAACAAAAATGCACTTAAAGGATAGGATTTCTTTACTCACTAAGGTTTTGTGGAAGGAGAACTGAATATGTAATGCTAGTTGAAGGCAACTGTGCAAAACAAGTAATCCCGTAAACAAGTATTTTTCTTATTTTGTTCTACTGGGGTTTTGCTATTGTTTTTCTTGGTGAAGATGAAATAAGGCACTACAGTTTGACACAGAAAAAGAAACTGAAAGCACCTACTAACATCCTGACAGTAACTACTAACTAGAAAAACAACTTTGAAAAATGTTCTCTCTCAAAATCAGAAAATTTGCTGTGTTTAGCGGTTATGGTTAATGCTTGTAATGTTTTGTACCTCATCTTCCTCCGTGTTCATTTGGTGAACAGTCTGTCTGCTAGGAATTGGCAATGGAGGTCTTATGTCAGATGCGCCTCGTGAAGGAGATCTGCTGGTGTTGCCTTCAAAGATGTAAAAGTAGAAAATATGTTAAAACCAGGAAAATAATTTAATCTCTGGAGTGCATACAGGGTGTACAATCTTGATTTTATGAGGCATGAAGAATTTATATCACTCTGATACTGACACATTTTGAACTGATTTGAAATCAGATTTAGGCTGCTATAAGAGAATCAGGTTCTTTACATAAATTCATCCTTGGTGCACAGGGACTTTAACTGAACTCTTGCAGTTCAGGTGTCATTAAAATCAGATGAACTTGAAATAGAGGTTACATCTTTTTAGCTTCTGTACCACAATTACTCAGTTGAGACCATCTCCGGTTTCTTTGAGACAGAAGTAACGTTGTCTTTTTCCATCCCTTGCCTTCTCAGCATGTAGAACTAAAAAACTGTCACTGTGAGGCATTGGCAGCTCTTACCATATGCAAACAAGTATTTGCAAAGCAATTAATTTCTAAGCTGCTTTTATTTTTTACTTGTTATTACAAGATAAATATGCAGCATATTGCACATGGGAAGTGTTTTCTGCCTTTTTCAAGAGTATTACTATGCCACAGTGACTTGCAGGTAGCATTGCTCAGTTCTCAGTAGTATTAGCTATATTGAAATAGATGCTTATATGAAGTTTTGACAATGGTTTAACTAGGCAGTAAGCCCAAACTTCAAGGGAGAAAAAACATCTTAGATTCAGACTAAGCAAGTTCCTTTCAGGGGAAAAAGAAAAAAAAAAAGAAGACTATTTTAACTCCACTGAAACCACTTTTCAACCTTCAGTCATTTTTTGTACAAAAAATGCAGGAGATACAAACCTGGATGTAAGCGTGGTGGTAGTGAGCCGCTTGAAGACAGGTTTCTAGCACTGGGGGTTTTTTTAAAGAGAAAAAAAAAGGTAGTATAAATATAAAATAGCTATACAACATTTCTGTGTTCTAAAGAATTGATCTGGACTTTGTGCCTATCTACAGTATGTGAGATCCTCTTGAGACCTATGAAGGATGAGGATAGCCTTCTCTTTCTTTAGTTTTTCTTCTTTTTAAGGAAGTAGATCTACCATTATGTTTACTTGAAGCTTAGTATCTGGGAATAAGGTAGAAGGAATCAGTAATGGGCCACCAAGATTTCTGTATCAGGATTAATGCAGAAACTGCTTCAGCTTGTGGAGTTTTCACAGGGAATGACTACTGTATTCCCCTGAAGCAGGAAGCACGGGTAACAGCTTGCTGGATGTTTCTTTCTGTGGGGTTCCACTTATAGAGTCATTTTCCCTGTGGCTTCTTTAATATTGTTGATGAAACTGCGGATTCTCATCATTAATGTTGCAACTACGGATGTGAAGCTACTGGAAAGAGTCTAGTGAAGGGCCGCTAACATGATAAGGGGCTGGAGAATCTCGTGTATGAGGAAAGGCTGAGGGAGCTGGGTCTGGTTAGCCTGGAAAAGAGAAGCCTCAGGAGGGATCTTATTAATGTCTATAAATACCTGCAGGGAGAGCCAGGCTCTTTTCAGCGATGCCCAGAACTGATGGGACCAGAGGCAATGGGCACAAACTGAAACACAGGAGGTTCCCTCTGAGCATCGGGAAACACTTTTTTACTGTGAGGGTGACTGAGCCCTGGAGCAGGTTGCTGAGAAAGGTTGTGGACTCTCTATTCTTGGAGAAATTCAAAAGCCATCTGGACATGGTGCTGGGCAGCCTGCTGTAGGTGACCCTGCTTGAACGGGACAGTTGGACCAGGTGACCTCCAGAGGTCCCTGCCAACCTCAGCCATTCTGTGACTCTGTGAGCTATGAGCAGACAGGGGCACAGAGCTCATACCCACAGCACCATTACACTTCCCTGTGTCTGTGCTTTCCCTCCTCTGTTCATTTTTATGCTTTCTGTTAGAAAATCTACAATTTCCTTTTATGGCCTGATCCCAGAACCCACATCCAAAACTTCTTCAAAATGAAGAGTCATGATTTTCTTTTTTTTAATGTTTGGGGTTTTCACCTAATTGGGAACAAACTGCCTGCACGCTTTTCCTTTACAGTTCATATTTCTCTTCTGTTTAAATGAACTGTAAAAAAAGCTCTGGGATGAATATGTTAATTATATTTGCAGAACAAAAACACCCTATCATGACTTGTGATTCATGGAAAGAATCAGCCAAATGGGGGCCTCTGCTAGATCAAAATTTCACAATACTGTTTGAATATAAGCAGAAGTGTTCATCATAGGAATAGTTCATATTTGCATATGACCTTGCTATTGCTGCTGCAATATTTGTTCTACTGGGGTGTCAGCAGTTCCAGAGGATGATGGTAAATGGGAGGAATTCATCAAAGAGCAATTAAAAAAATACAGAGATTTGAAAATGTACTTCAGACCTAGACTCAAGGAGTCCACTCTAACTCATCAAAGGCTAAGTCTGTTGCACACTACATCAGAAATCAAAATTTAATTAAGGGTTCTTTCATCTAGCAAATGAAGGCATAATAATCTAATGTTGGAAATTGAAACAAGGTTTACAATAAGTTTAAATAGGAATTATTCACCATTAGAATAAAATTTAGTGAATAGGTGGTGAAATTCATTCACATTCAACTCTAGACAACTAAGGTTGTGGGTTTTGGTTTTTTTTTAGTTTTGAAGCAATGTAGTTGCAGCTCTAGCACTTAGGCTCCTAGAGTGTGCAGAATCCTTTTAAAGAACCTCTTTGACCTACATCCTCCATAGTTTTGCAGGAGAAGATGATCCTTTCCCAAAAGGGCTGGTCATTCTTACGGATCCTGCAGGCAATGGGAGAGGTGTCTCAAGAATATAGAAGCATTGCACCACGTAGGCCCTAAAATATGCCTTTGACATAAAACTGAGATTTACATTATTTTCTTGGTTGCCTGATGTACACCATCTGCTTCACTGAATACACAGCTTCAATTATATGAAGGATTCTCCTTGATAGTAGGAACAACACAAATTAGCATGCAGTGGAGGTAAGGGTATAGCCTGAAAAATAACGGACTACTTCAAGTAGTTACCTCGTATTTGCCTGAGAACCCTGTAGCCACATATATACTATTGTTTGCTCAATTGCAAAGAGATTGAGATTCAAAAGGAATGACGCAGCAATGGGTGAAGCAAACCTTTCTGCACCAGGCATACTGTTGGCTCCTGGCTTAGGTGGAGGCTTGACAGATTTGGCTGGGAATGTATTGGAGCTGTATGGGGGCAAAGATAGCTGTGGCACTGGTCTTTGGGGTGCAGCTGTGGAGAGAAAGAGAAAGAAACTTAAAACTTCTGTGAGACATTCTTAAATGAGGTAGAATGAAGAAACGCTGACACATTACTGCTGTTTAATGAAATAAACCTAATGGAGTAAACTGTCTATAAAAAATCCTTGATGTGTTAGTTACAGATTGTAAACTCATATGGTCAACTGAGAACTTAAGTATTAAAATTAAAAATAACCTGAAGCAGCCTTGAGCAACATCTACATTTTCTAACTTCTGTTTTGGATAAGCCACAATTCAGATACCTTAACTGCAGTAGAGCTGACTGTGGTATGTAACCATGGTTCTCTGTTAGATTGCTTCTAAACAGTGAATTTGAGGTTACCTTTTTGAACTTCATTCCTTTGTGAGATTTCTCCCATATCATCATAAACAACAGCATAAAATAAAACTCCTCAACTATTGGTAAAAGGGGAACAGATTAACTGCTCTCTGCACAGCTTAAATAGCCCGATTCTTTAGGGAGTCTTAGAGGCAGTGATAATTTGTAGAGACTTGGCCAAATGCTCTGCTTCTGTTATGGCATCACTTTACCAGCTTACTTAATTTTAGGAACCAGGATTCTGAAGTAATTTATAAATACTATTATTACATGAAACAAGTTCTGCTTCAGTTTGTTAGCATAAATAGCATTACGCAGAAGGCTAGTACCAGCAGGGTTTGACTGAGCATTTTGGTGAAAACTGGGAGGAAACCAGGTTTACGTGCCTCGCTGTTTGGTGCTGTGTGCAGATCACAAATCTCTAAAATGTAATGTGTTTCAAAATAAGAAATCTTGCTTCTTGTAACTGGCTGACTGAAGGAAGCTATTAGCTATTGATTTCCTGTGCTTTGCGGCTTTGATATATAAATCTACATGAGGTACTGCGTAAGCGTTCTACAACCTCTCAAGCTACCACCTGACTTTTTGAAATGTATCTAAAGAAACAACTCTGTGAATTTTTTTTTTTATTTTTTTTTTTAGAACTAAGACAAAGAAAGACTTTAAGTTTTAAAAATCACTGTAGAAATACTTACCGTCTTCTTCCTCCTGGGGAGCCAAAAGAAAATAAACATTAGCAACTTATTATAGCACAATTCTTAATAATATTTTACAAAACAAAAACCTGGAAGTTGGTGAATTTTGAGTATACAAGGACTCTAATATCTATCCTGTCACCTTCATCTAAAATGCTGGGGTTTCTATTTTTCATGCAACACCAAATAATTTTTAAAGTTCCTATGTTAAGGTGCAGCAATTATTTACAAGTAAGCTGTGAGGTAGACGTCCCATAATGGAACTTGACCCAAAGTAGTTAGAAACTCTCAGCAGATGTAAACTTTCCTCATTCCTTAGGTATGTATAGGCTCTCAGAGTTATCTGAAAGTGAAATCCGTAGGTCAGCTTAAGCTGAAAAAACACCCCAAAACCCAAACCTGGGTTAGCAAAATCACTTCTCCCATGTCATTAAAAAATTCTGGTATCATTCTTTCTCTTATCTAAGATAAAGTACTCAGGGAATAAACTGAGCTTGACGTAGAACTGTTTAAAAAGAAACCATGTGCTATGAAAGATCCCTCAGTGTTCATGATGACTGATAACAGAAATGAGTTCACCTTTTTCAGACTTATTAGGTTATACAGGTACTTCGTGTTATTGTAGTCCCTATGCTTTTAAATATTTGCTTTGAGACTATACTTACTTCATTTTTTTTGTGTGGTGGCCAACCCGGCCTGAAATGAAACATAGAAAACAGATCATGAATCATAGATGGAATATTGCTCATTCCTTTTGTGTGCATTAGGCCATATTTTCAACTAAGACATGAATTTATAGTAAGTTTTACAGACACAATTAACGCAGAAACAGTTTTTTCCTCATAAAAAATATCTAAGATTCTAATTTTCACCCATAATCTAAGCATAAGCTAGTCCTTAGTCCATCTTGATTATATCAACAAGGAAATTGTCTGATGAATTGATTATAAGAGCTTAAAACAAGTTTTTACAATGATGAAACATTAGACTTCAAGTCTTAAACTCATTTGTAGTACTTAGCAACACTGCTGGAACACATGATAAGCCTTCCAGTATTTGTCTCTCTGATAAATAATCCTCGCTGATTAGCAGATCTCAATTACTTTCTTATTTTGTTTTAAGATCAGTCACACTGTTCAGCCCACAAGTTATCTAGAAAATGCTAGAGAATGATCTAGTGCTGCTAGAGAATGCTATTTGCTATTAAGAAGGAGTTTTACAGACTGATAAAGTCAACGGTAGGAAAGTAAAGGTTTCTTTTTCTAACATCCTAAAAACATAGCAATAGGACTGATGAAGGAATGTTCCCTAGAGCAAGAACTTGATCTGGTGGAAGAAACTTGGATCATATATCTCTTTATGCTATTTGGAAGAGAGTCATGCCCTACGTAATGGCTGTCTGAGATACGACTGGTGAGAGAGCTTTTTCTGCTTTCACTTTTCTGTAGCTCACAGCACATCCCATGCATATTCTTAGAGCAAAACTGTGATAACCACAGACACTGCTGTCATGCAGTAGCAGTGAATTATACTATCTTGTGTTGCTTATCCATATTTTTGTTAAATTTAATTTATCCTTTATTAAATTTCAATTAAATGAACACTTACTTTACAGGGGTTTGCTTCCTTGGAGGAGTTGGATTGCCTCTTTCGTATCTGTCACTTGGTGGGACAGGAGGTTTTGGCATCATTGCTAACTGTTCCCCCAGGGATCTAAGGCAGGAGCAAGATGATGAAATAAAGGCAAAAAGCTGCTTACTATGAAATAACTGGGTAATACTGGCATCAAGAGTCTCATTTCCAGAGGCAAAACTCTTACCTTAGCTGCGAAGTCAGAGGCTGTAAAACAACAAGGAAGAGTTAAGAGAATGTGTATCAAAATAGGTGAAAAACATGAATAAGCACCAAACAAAAAAAGACCTTACCTTTTCAGGAAAGCCCGGCTTCCTCCCTGAAAATAGTAAAAGCTTACCTTTAGAAAAAATTAAATTTAAGATAATGAATTAAGTTTTCTATGAAACAAAAAGTTTTAAATATCATTGAATGTGAATTTTGCAGATTGAAGCACTCAGCCTCCTGAAATGTAAGCCAGAAAAAGGTTTTGGCTTTGCAAGAGATGGCAAAGTTGCAATACCTCTTATTAAAGGAAAATTTAAAAATTTTCAAAGGGGCAAGTTTTACAATCATATTTTCTATGGTTCAGCTTTGAATTGCTGGATACTCTTATGCTATTATGTACCAGATGAAAGTGTTCAGATAATAAATAAAAATCACAGAGTAGTCTCGTTAGATTCTCTGTAAAACATGGTATTCAGGTCTGAAATAAATGCCATATTTTTTCTATATTTTTTTCAGTTCTCAGCATTCTTTTAAGTCTGGGTGCAAAATTACATATAGTAGTGTATGCAGAGTTTCGTTGGCTTTGTATGCAAAAGATATTGCCTCTTTTAACCGACTAATTATTCCCTTGTTCATTCACTTCAATATTACAGCAAACATTTATTGCACAGGGATCTCATAATGTCTTTCTGTTCAACTAGTCCTGACCTAGGGTTGCCGCTTTCTAGATACAATTTCTCTCCCTTTATAAGTACTGCTCACATTATTTATTCATAAACAGATCACCTTGTATGTGACTGGATTATGGTACGCTTGGTTGAACCTTGCTCTTTTGCATGAATGATATTCAAACTGATATTTTTGAATAATTAAAAAAAACCCCATTGATATTAGCATAAGCAAATACTGACCTGATGCTGGGCTTTCTCTTTCAAATGGGGGAGCAAGGCGATCCAGTGGAGGTTTTGTGCTTCTGTCTATAGAAGGAGCTGGGGCTAAACACAAAAGCTATGTAAGACAATTTGCTGGTATAGGTCAATATATCTTTATTTTGCATAGCCATGAACTGGTGTTACATCACAGAATAACAAGTGAGGCATCTGTATAAACAGTGGAGGAGAGCAGAACTGAGGAGATAGGGGCAAAAGGGAAGTGCTGTATAACCTGTGGGAAAAGCTTTACATACAGAAAACCAGCGGTACTTACGTTTCAAAGGCTTGATATTTCTGTCTCTACTCAAGTCATTGTTGCTTGGCGGAGGAGGAAAAGCTGGCAGCTAAAACAAGTATTTTACATGTGGTTAAAATGTGTCTTCATCTTCTTAATTTTATTGTATTAACCCCACCACATCACATCTGCTAATCTTTGTCTCTGGTGCAGCACAAGGAATAGGTCTCTGCTCAGACCAGGAAGGATAGGAGCCATTAATGCTCCTGAAGAATGATCTACATACATGGTTTTTTGTTAGATGCCTCCATCTGTTTTGTCTCACGAGGAATACTCTAATGGGATGTTCTCTTTGGGAAGGGCATGAGTATTGTCAAAGGAAAGAAACAGGAGCTTCCACAATGCTGTTGTACCTCTGCCCCTTCAATGTGGCAGGTGTTGGTTTTGAGAACTGGTATTGAAATCAGTGGATGTAAATTTGAAGTTGAGAATTATGTATTAAGTCTGTGTTACTGACTGTGGCTGACTGAGGCAGGGGCAGAAAGGACTGGTTTTTGTTACTGGGAGAGCTGGGTCAAACAGCATTGTGTTGTCAGCAGCTGCAAAAGATGTTTGCATCCAAACCTAGATTTCTCCAGACAGATGCCTTCCAATGTTCATTCTTATTAAAAAAAAAAAACAAAACCAACCAACAGATCAGCAATTTAGGACAGTGGTACTGAGAACTCGTGACACCTAAGACTCCTGTATGTTTTATATATACATGAACTATGACACTGGGTCAGACCAAAAGCCCCTCTATCACATCCTAAAACTACCTTTACTTGTGTACATGGGTGGGTCTAATGTCCATCTGTTGCGGCACACAGTGCCAGTTTTAAACAGTACAATAGCTTTCAGTTTTGATGTATTCACAGACAAAAAAAAAAAAAAAGGAAAAAATCTGGGCCAATAGGGTTCTCATTATACAGTCCCTTATGCTTTTGTGTGGTCTTAATTCAATGGACAATTGCTAGAAGTATAGCTTGGAGAGACTTGGCCTTTTTTTTTCTTTTACAAATATCACTACAGAAACAAGGAGACATCTATTACAAACCTATAATTTATACAGGAGAGGCATTCATAAGTGGGTACAAATTTCCAGTGTAAGAAACAGCCAAGTAATTTAAAATAAATCAATATATGTGTCCCATGAAATTTATTTGTTCCATGAAAAAATGGCCACCCTGTAACAGAGCTCAAATCTATTTTGATGTCTGAAATTCTTCCTCTACATACACTATCTGAATAAAAATGGCATTACACTTGGACTTCTAAGGTACTAGCAAAGGAAATAAGTGCAATATTAAGAAAGAAACATACAGAAGCACCTCTTCCCCCAAATGAGGCTGGTACTGGGGATGGGCCAGGTCGCTGGGGTGGTACTGGAGGCTGATGTGATGATCTAGTTGTTGTTGGTCTGTCTAAAGAAAAGAAAAACCCAAAACTAAACAACTACACGAGCAGTTTGGTTATTTTATTCTCATTAGATCTTTATGAGGAAGAGCCCTTGCAATAACCTGCGTACTTGAGATATCGTAAAGACATTGTTTTAGTATTTAACGGACAGTTGCTTTATGATCAATGTTGTTTTGGGAGTTACAGGCTCGTCTGTCCCTTTGGTGGTGAGGTGACTCCATCTGCTAGTCTGTTGGCCCACACTATTTGTTTTCATTCACTGCAGTACAGTGACTGTGTGAAACACCAGCCAGTCTAAATGGCAGTTTTGTACTCCCGTATTTCACTCCACAGCTGCAGGCTGCTGAAGAATGAGACATAAAAAAATGACAGTCAGAGAAAACTGATCTCTTCCTTTTCCCAATTTTCACTAGAGGTTTTTGCCACTGTTTTGACAACTTACTGCGTTCAAGGTTGTACTACTAAAGCTAATACAGTATGCACATACATTTAACTTCATGCAGATTCAAACCAAAGGCCAAATAATGCACACATCACATGAAACTAATATTTAATCCAGCAGAGTTTGTCTGAGGTTGAAAATTTAGCTTTAAAAGTCACAAAGCCACCAACATGCAGTAAGTCTGTGTCATGAAATGTTGTTCATGAACTACACTGTTTACTTCAAGGAAAAACCTTCAGTATTCCATTATCAGCCACCTAAAATGTGGCTGATAATGTGTGAAAATATCCCTTACAACTTATTAATAGCACTTAATTTTTAATAATTACCTATATAATCTGTGTTGTTTGCAAGTGACTTGGCAGGAAATATGACGTTGTGGTGTGCTTCATCATTATTGGATGGAGGTGGCTCATAGCCATCACTGTCATGTTCTGCTTCCTCAGGTTCTTCTGTTGGTGATTCATAGTCAGCTTCATCTTCCTTTTCCTGGTCATCATCAGGGCTTTCGTAGTCATCATCATCTTCATCCTGGCAAATGTATGTAAAAGACAGATGTTGTAACAGGATACTAAACACTTCAGTGCAGTTTCATTTTGGCTTTCACTGTGGTATTTTTATCCTGGAGGATATCAGGGTTTTAAAACCAGTTTGAGTGAAAAAATGCTGAAATAAAGTGGGGAAAGGTGGCAGCATTTTATTAATGCGTACAGCACTCAACAGCTTAAGAAAGGAAAGGAGTATCATCTTATAACAGTAACTGCAGTGGAAAGTCAAGATAAGGTGATAGCTTATTGAAATGCACAGTGTGTTTGTTTTAGGTGACAGACAAGGCACCAGCAAACAACTCAGTGCTTCCTAGAAACGCATTGGAGCAGGACTTGATGCCTGTTGATATTCATTCTTACTTAATAGCAGGTACTTTACAGCTGCAACTCAATATTTAAAAATGCTTCAGAAAAAAGGAGGTCTTTGATATGGGTCTTTGTGCCCTCCACTGACCAGATCCAAAACAGCTTTGTACAACTTGCAGGACCTAGTAAGATCACAGTGAAAATATGGTAGTGGTCATTGCACACATCTTCTGTGCAATCTGCCAAGGCCTACAAGAAAAAGAATTTTCAATTTGTCATTGGTATCTTGGCTGAAAGTTTCAGACTAGCTCTCTATTGACATAGAGCCCCGGTGCTCTATAGGTGATTACTTTTACCTTTTGTGCTCCTAAAATAGCAGCAAATCTCCTACAAACTTAGCAGCAAGTGGTTCTTAAAAATCCCTCTCCGTTTTTTTGCAAAAAGACATTGGCTCTGGTCAAGGTAAGAGATCTTCATAAACCCAGACTGTGCATCAGTCAGCTTATTCCTTTAGCTTGCTGAGTTGTGTATGCTTCATCTCATGATGTTTACCAGTGCATTTTCTGTGCCGAAAGGCAAAAGGAACTTTTGCAGTCTGGTTAGCTTCAAAAAATTAGATTCTTCAACAAATCAACTCTAGAGAATAACATGACAAGAATTTACAATTGAATAGCATAGCAACATTTCCCTTACCAGCCACCTCTTTTAAGAGCTTGAAATAGGTAGATAACATTCAGCTAAGGTTTTGTAGAGACCTGGTTGTAGGCTGTGAGTTTCTACTTGAGCCAGTGATCTAGGATTGCCATTCTGAAGCTCTGCCTTGCATTACCGGGGCATACTCTTATCTTAGTGAATAAATTTGTATGCAGCTACTCCAGTTATTCATGCTCCTGCTTCTCTTTCTCCTCATCCTAGCACCACTGCCATTGCTCACTCCATCCGTGCTGCCCAAAGTAGATAATGCAAGAAACGATAGACCTTACAGAAGAGGTAATCCATTCACCCAGTCGGTTTTGTTAATCGTGATACTCACAAATGAAGACCAGTCACCGTCTTCTTGACTGTATCCTGCATAAAGAAGCATAACCACAAGCTTCTTAGCATGTACAACTTTAAACTATCAAGACATACCTTGGCAAAAAGGACACAACAAATCCCAGATCAGTTCTGAACCACAAGACTGTGTCACAGGAACAAGGTAGGTCTTGTGCAGGCAGGCAGGCATGAAAGGTACGACTAACATTCTGATTCAAAACTAAGAGCTATCCTTGTATGAGATGAGATGTGTGCTGTCACTTCAAGTTTGTCCTACACTTCCAGTTTTAAATGTAATTTGAAGCAGAATGCTTTCAGAATGAGCGCAGACTTTTAATCTATTTGTTTAATACTATTTTATCTTTCATATCAAAAGGGGTTTTTTAATTTCGGTAGGATTGGGGGAACATGGAAGCTTGCAGAAGTTTTAAGTGCTCATGGCTTGTAAGAAAATAATTTAAATAAAAATTCAGAAAATGGCAGACATCTAGAGGCTTACTTCTCTAATATGGGGTGCTGCTAGGAGTAGGGGCAGGGGGCAGAGGTGTTGGAACAGAAATATATAAGCACTGATACTATGTATTGGATTAAAGAAAGTCAATTTGGGAATGCTCGTGCAAATGTCTCTGCTCTTGCCTTTCTTCATCATCTTTTCTATTTTAAAAATATTTTTTCTTACTTGTTCTCCTGTAACTAGTCCTTATTCTTTTTGCAACTTCTTCGTGCTGTCATCTTTTCCTGTTTGTTGTTTTGGGTTTCCCCCCACCCCCAATTTACTCTGCCCTGCAAGGATTAACTTAATATTTGAATATTTTTTAACACTTTTTGTTGTTAGAAACCATATGCCAGTACATACTTACCTGGATTTTCAGGAGATTTTTGTGTTTGGGCCCTACAACAAAGATACAAACAAATAAATTCCTTCCATTTGCAATTCTTAAATGTTTTAAACATATTAAATCTATTGCAAGTAAAAGTAGCGGTTAGCTTTAACAGTAGAATGAAGTTTATATAGGTGAGTTTAACTCCACCCAAAATGTCACACACTACTTCGTGTTGCACACACAGGACCCTAATGTAAACCAACGTATTTTGAAAAACATTCCAGTCAGTGAGGTTGAGCGTTTAGAAACAAGAGCACTCAGTAAATAACTTTACCAGGGCCCCCAGTCCTGAAAATAGAAATTTTCTTTACTAATTTCATTCAAGCTGCTGAAAGTCAAGTTTATAAATATTTGTAGGGTTGATGATAAATATTTTTATAGTTTTCAATTCTAGTTTTGAACTCTAGTATATGCAAGGGTGTAAAATCATGTTATCAGATGATACAAAACCACGTTATACAGACTAGACCTAGATTTTCACTGTATGTGAATATAAATTGTTCTTCTCATGCGATATTCTTGCAATTTTTGCTCTTCTGCTACTGTAACAATATTATATTCAATGATAAGTCATAGAGTATTAAAAAGTGTAAGAATGTATTGGTCTGTGAAACGCTTTAATGATGATTATCGATGCAATAATACATGCCTAGGCTTTATAGCATTCCTAAAGATTAGTTTACTCAACTCAAGTGGAAAATTGTATGAAATTTATATGTTACTTAGTTCCAGACATGCAGAAGTATCTAGGGTGTTCATGGGCTCAGGCTTTGCTATTCTTAACAGATAATATTAACAAAACAGAGTTTTATTTTATATAACTTCCAGGCTGTCCTTCTGACCCAGGTATTACTGATCAAATGGAAAACAGTCCAGAAAAGACATATCTGAAAGCTTTGAAAAAGAAAGCTGAATTGTTTTACTTACTTACCATTTTGGAAAGAAAGACAGCTTCCCTTCATTTTTGTTTATGTCTTGACTTAATTTACTTACAATTCTATTTAAAAGAAACACAGAAACGGTTTAAAAAAAAAAAAATCCTTGAAACTTGCCAGTCATTTTCTTAGCTGCTTTTCCTCAATATTTACTAAATTAAATCTTGTAATTCAGAATTATTATTTACTATGTGGTAAGAATATTGAATTTTTCATCTTATTGCAATGTTGCACTATAGCATATCCAATTAGAAACTAGATTTTTTTTTTCACATAGATAAAAACCAATATTGTTGGATCAAGTTTAAAAATAAACATTAAACCCAGCAAGCCTTAGAAACCTTGGGTGTGGTAGACAGCCCACACTAGAACACTGCTTTAAGCACTGGCGATTGCATTTGTATTATTTTGCATGGAAAGAGCAGATCAGGCTTCAGGAAACAACTTCTACCAAGGTTGTGGTCGCAAAAGCAGGGATTGAATGTACCCTGTCTCTCCTCTGTATTCTTTTTGTCTCCCTCCCTCTGCAACCGAGGTATACCTAACCCAGAATCCCTCCAGTAAAGAAGGTGAAAAGGTTGATTTAATTCCATGTTATAACACATTTGCAGGGCAGAAATAGTCATGGAACATATGACAACTGTAGCTGTATGTCTACAGAGATTTTTTTTCAAGTGGATGGGTTTTTCATCATTCATGTGCAGTTTTGTGTACAGCAGCAGGGTGAATAACAACCGATTAAATGCAATCTTGAGTAAAATTTCATTCAGGAACGTGCATTTCTGCTGCTAATGTTGCTGGCATCCACAGCCAGCACAAACATCTGTGACTGAGAGTTTTTATATTGATTGACTCCCTGAGAACAACTCTGAGGTTACAGGACAGTCATTATTGAGATTAACACAATCAAGTCCACTGAGAGCAACAGAATTCTGCTCTGCTAGTAATGAAGTTTGCCTCTATGATTATTTTGTTTCAAATGAAGTTTTTGTTTCATAGAAAGCTTATGATGAGTCATGGTCTGATTCTTAATTCTCAATATTTCTTCTTGAGGAAAGTCCCACCATAAAGTCCTGTGACAACCAAAGCAAATTGGTTACATACACCCGGTTAAAAACATCCCATTTTACTTCTAGCTCATATTATTTAGGTCTATATCAGAGACAGTATTTGTGGAAATGAAAGTAGTATGAAAAAAATCAAGAACTCAACATGTCTGTTTATCTCAGATTCTAAATTCAGTAAAAAAATCTTAACTTTATGGTTTGTTAGTGCAGAATTCTTTTCCATACATCTTAGATCTGGTCAATCAAACTTTATATCAGTGTTACAAAATCTTTGTTTATGGCCAGGTAGTTACCACTCTATTTTATTTTTCTTCTTCTTTCATGTCTTTTTCTGCTATTCAGCAATAATAATCCCCCGGTTTTTTCCATATGACCACATTTGTGCATCTCTTTCATGTCTAACTGCTTTTCTGGGCTGGGACTTGAAGAAGAGAAGCTTTCAAGCAATCTTGCCCCTTATGGAATAGGCACATGCACAGATGTTAATAATTTAAGAATGATTACAGCTTTCTAAATCTGGCATCATTACCCAAGCAAATTTATAAAGCCAAAAAAATGCAAAGTTATAGGCATAGGGACTCCTCTTGCTCTTCTTTTCCATGCAATCAACAGTCCTCTGCACAAGAAATTTCCTTCTGCTGCATGTGATAAGGAAGTTGCTGTGTGAATAATAAATTCCATGTGAAACATCAGGAAATGTTCCGGGGTGAACAGCGTACTGCATATACCAGTGCTTTGGTTGAGAAGTGGATTACGGAATTTGTGTGTGGCTTATTCTCTGTTGTAGAAGGAAGGATCTTTCATAATGTTGTTTTTATTTTCAGCTAAAGAAGTAAAATGAAGATCATTGGGTTTAGAGGTAATAATTCTTTTACTTCAGGCTTCCACGGGTATGAATGAGACCTGAGTGTTTGGAAGCTTTCTGGACTAAACCTGGGCTGGCTGCTATGAGGATTTACACCAACTGGTTTTTGAGGAAAAACTGAAAGGGAAAAGTTGCTCATCTTATCTTGCTGCCAAAAAATTAATCATTTACTACTTAAAATACAGTGTCTCATCTTTGTTTCAGGTTTATTTGACATGCTTCAAAGCAATGGATCAGAGAGGTTGTTAGAAGAAAGTGAAGTTTAGAATGGTAACACTTTACAAGCAACATTATTACAGAAGATGGGTGCACTGAGCAGCTGAGTCTGTAGCCATGTGAGGAAGGAAGTACCAAAACCACACTGCTTTCTGAGTTGTGGGAGTGGATGATAGGAGAGGATAAGGCAACAGCACTTGCAGAAATGTTACTCAGACTTCTCTTTCTCTTTCTACCTCCTCCACCAGATGCTTAGCTTAAAACTGGCAGGAAATCGAAAATAAAAAACCCAACACACAACCAACTCCCAAAGTAGTACTCCAAAACTGGCTTCTGTTTGCTTAGCTGCAGATATTGTTGCCCTGAGTAGAATCCATTCTACCTGTATTGGGATAAAGGACTTAAGATGGGTGCAAGAGATGGCAGACCAAGTCCTTTAGGGCCAGGAAGTTGCACAGTCACTTATTGAACACTGTCAAAAGCATAGTTTGTGATAAAGTCTTTGCTTTGGCCTTTGAGAAAAGTCTGTTGGGCAGATGCAACACTGTTGGCTTCAAATCTGAGTATCAGTTATGTTCTAAAGCTTTCAACAACCTTTAGCATCTCATCTGAGAGAGCACGTATGCACACACATTCACCTCTGCCCACGGCATACCTTTTTGAAAGAGAGGGGCGCTATATGTTTCTTAATTTTTAGGTTTGCACTTTGACTCTTCTGAAAGTAGAATGACTTTCAGACTGTGTTGTTTGTAGGCTCTGAATGCATCCCATTCAGAACTCAGCACACGTACCCTGTTTGAATTGGCAAATGCAATTATGTACTTTAGTGCAATGATGCTCTTTATTAATGGAAATTTTCACAAGTGCTATGGGATATGCCATAAGCTTTCTGACCAAGGTTGAAAATTTAAAACATCAGGTTTGCCAGCAACCTGCCACTGAGGATAGCCAAAGGGATCAACAGCCTGTATTAGTACCTGGACTTACTGAAAACTTGGAAATGTTTTATCTCGAGATAGCAAACAATGAGAGTGGCAAAGACTAACTTCAGTGTTTGGATCCTGGTTCAGGTATCAACCAACCATCACTGCTCTTTTGAATGAGGTCTTTGCTTTTTCTTGTTTATTAATTTTGACCACATTAAGTATGGCACATTCTGTTGAATGTGCTTTAAAATATTTTGCAAGACTCACATTTGTTATCCACAAGTATAAATCTTTATGACCTTCTGTGACTGCCCATAGTCATAATGAGCTATAAGAAAACTCCATGTGTCCCTTAAGCTGTATATTGGCCTTTTGTTTCATTATATTTATTATCAAAATGTTAATTACACCCTCATGATTAGGTCTGAGTTTCATTTAGCACTTTAAGACAGATATTCAATGTCTGCTCTCTGTAAAAAATACCATATCCCTTCCCTGTTTCACCAATGTACCACTTACTCTTTCAGGATGCAGTGTGGTGTTTATGAAGCTTCCGGTGTCTATGTTAACTTAGTGGTACTAATATTAACTTAAATGGTTTTCATAAAATATAGCAAGTACAAGAGTAATATGAATGAGCTCAACAAAAAAACATAACACTATGGTTTTTAACAGTTTTTCATATTATTACAAAAATGCCAAGTGTTAAGCATAGTATGTGTTTAAAGAAAAATGTTGCAACTGAGCTGCGCTATTAATAACTGAACAAATTGTTAGGTCAACCATGATGCTATCTCATTCGTGATAACCCAATCTCTAAAACTAATTGTCATGCCACGATTATTTATTTTCATTTCTCAGTGGGAATAGAGAGAAAATGTATGTGTTATGTGTTTCTACCAACAGATTACTCGGCCCAAATGTTGCTGCTCCTTAAAGGTCTGTGGCAATGTGATAACTTTGGGATAATGGCTGAATGTCTCCTGGGCATAGATTTCCACTAAATCTGTGAACAAGTGAAGCAGGGAAAACCCTTTGTGGTCTGGAACCTGGAGGCTGGGTTCCACCACATGTAATCATGCAGTGTCAGGTCTTCAAAGATCGTTCATCAGTGCCATAGCAGATCAATATAGGTCACTGCAATAGACAGGCATATCTCTTTTCTTAGAATGGCAACTATGCTTAAATTCTTAACATATGGTTAGTATTCTTAAAAGTAATTTTTTACCAAGTGATTTAAAGCTGATGCTCTGTATCTTCAAATAGAAATGTATATATTCAAGTAGAAACACTATGTGGTGGCATTTTCTTTTAGCTTGAAGAAGTGCCTGAAGCTCAGCACGTGTCCAAGTACTGCCTTTTGAACTGGAGCCTTAAACCAGTCCAAGACTCTCTCTTCACTCCCTCTTCCCTATGTCCACCCAGAGCAGGTCAGCTACAACACAGACCTGGCAAAGACCAAGTGGCTTTTTTCCACCTGCCTCTCCTGAAAGGAAAGGATGAAAGGGAAGTGGGGAGTGGAGCTGTACACTGCCTTTTGCTTTGGGACCTTGTGCCTGAGCTAGACCTTTGATTCTACTGTGCACAAGGCTTACATGTTAAATCAAAATACAGCATTAAGCAAAGTTAATTTTCTAAACTTCTCCCTAAGATTGCTTTAATAGCAACACAAGTGCAAAAGGTCTCATGGTTCCAAAGAATGACAGCATAATCAGTGTAGATATTCTGAATGAGAGTAAAAACTTCATATTTATCAGAGAAGCCCCAAATGGAATAATAGTTTCAAATTTGCAGGTTTGTTTAAAGGCCTAAAAAAGAAGGGCATGTGTGTTTCCGGTTGTCTAATGCTCTGATTGGCACAGCTTTATGCATAACTCAAAGATAAGGACGACTTCTGGGTATGATCTGTCACAAAGTTGGTCTTCATTCAGTCTTAATTTTCCATCCTCCACAAGATATCATGCCCCAACAGATATGTGGGGTAGATTTCCTTAACCATGCCAGTGAAGATCCCGCTGTGTACAAGACCTCAGTATTTCTGGCAGGCCTACGAGAACGTGAGGTGGTGACCGCAAACAAAAATGGGAATCTCTACTGAGGTAAATGGACTGCAGAGTTTGTTATGATCCCTCATGAAATCTATGTGTGGCCTATGCATATGCAGGTGCAGTGAATCCTGTGCTGACTTATGTCCCTTTACCCTTTTGCTGCAAAAGGGTTGACAGAATAAAACTTGCAGGACTGTCTGGATGCATCAGTCACTTTTATATGGTGCCCTTATCTATGTAAATTTTTTAGCAAAGTTTTCAGTAGAGTTCGGCCCTTTTAATGGAGAGTTTTAAAGACGTTGTGAAGTATTTTCATTTTCAAAATAGTGTTTAAATCCTATTTTGGTATTTAAAAATAAGCCAAAAGAAGATTCATGAAGATGTGCACCTGTGATATGGCTGGTGGAGGTTAACTTTCAAAATAATAATTCTGTTAATAATAACAGAAGATTGTAGAGTTTTTTAATGAATTTCAGGAACTGGCCTATCATACTTTGTAATGACAACTGTTACCTACTGAGACACTTAAAGATTCTTGTAAAAGTCAGACAGTCATCCCCAAGTAATGACACAGTTATACTCAGAACTTGATCAGTAGATTTGCTCAAACCTATATATTTAGTAAAACCACATACCCAGCTCAGGAGGTCTGTAGGGATGTAGGCTGTGGTTTGCAAACCTTGTATAGTTGCTAATGGTGGGTTCTGTTCTTGGTACATGTAGGTCAGCACAAGCCTGCTAAAGGTGCTGGAGAACTTTCGTTCTTGTGTATGTACTTTTTATTCATTCCACTGGCCAATGCTGTAAGTGTGATGCTTGCTATTTATATTAAGCATTTTTACAAAGTATGCGCAGATTTTAGCACTTGTTAAGTATCAGGTACTATAACTACAATATGCTAATGTGTATTTCAGCTTGTAGAAAAACTCTTCCTACCACATGGGGTTTGTATTATGATATAAAAGTAAGGCGTGAATGAGTTCTAGCAGACGTCTAGTGGAGATTCTGAAGTAAAGAAATTAATGTAAAAAAAACCAGACAGGTTCTACCCATTAATTTTATTCTGTTGGGTTTTGGAGGGTTGGTTGTTTGCTTGTTTTTAAATGGCAACCAGTTCTGTTTCCTATTAAAGCTCTAAATTCTTGTTTTAAACAGTGGCATTACATGGAGGACCCCACATCACACCAACCTTTTTCCATGGATATTCACAATATTCTAGTGAGTTGTTTCTCTGTTTGTAAGTGTGGAGAAGGCTGAGAACAAGGGCATTAGTTCCAGAACTTTCATTCAGATTTATTAATTTACTTATTTATTCAGTTCTTAAGGTTGTGCACCAAGCTTCACTCTTATTTTAAAGCTCTTGATTTCAAGTTTTCTTCTTGTTGAAAACCCAAAATATCTGACTAGGAAAGGCTGTTCACTTTCTGCTAGAGTGTTACAATAAGCAGACTGTGAAAATTGAATTTTTAAAACATTTTTGAGATATCAATAGATTAGACGAGGAGATAGGAGCAATTCCACACTGGTAGATTTCATTCTAATTATTCACTTATATGACAATATGTCTTGTATGTGTGTCTTAGACCTTCCACTGACCACTTTTGACTCACGAATTTGAAAGGAAAATACCAAAAGTTCTCACAATTAGAAGTTCAAACAAGGAGAACACAAGGCAATTTTGCCAAAGGACTGTTAAGGAGGGACAAATTATCAGAGAATTACAAGCAATGTGTTTTACAGTGTGGTAAGATGAGTTTTTCACAGACAATCTGGTGTAACTGTGGGCCCTCAGTCTCAGTAACCATAGTTAAATGTTGCTTTTAATTGACAGTTCAAAAATACTTCAGGGCATCTTTTGTTTTATAGCATCTGGACCCCCTTGCTAATACATATACACCACCAATCCCTATTATCAGGAAATTTATTGTGTGAAAATACAGATATGATCTTAAGAAACATGTCATGCCTGAGGCTTTCAAGTTCAAGTCCTTGCATATCTGATCCAAACAGAGGTATCCGCCTGCCCTCAGATCTAGCCACCAGCTTACCCATAAGCACATGAATGTGACAGACCACACAGGTATTTCAAAATTTTTCAGTATTTTTAGCTTCACCAAAACCTCTTACACAAGCTCTGATGCTTCAGAAAAGGCGAAGCAGACTGTATCTCCCATAGCAAAAGCAAGATATACATAGAGGGAGTGAGTCTGGAACTGGGAAATGAGCAACAAAGAAACAGCCATGTTGGAACAACTTGAGTTCCTTTTTTTTTTCCTTCCATACATTGTTTAGAAGACCACAAAGAGACACCTTGTGTCTCATGGTTAGGAATCTTCTAACTTCCAGCTTAAATATGTCCCAGATAACTCATAGCACAATAAAATCTTGAGTTTTTTCACCACGAAATATTAGAAGCAGGTAATTTCTCTCTTATTCAGTATTGACTTAATGAGATTATTGTTCTTCACTTAGTAACTTCTATGTAATTATGAAAGCTATTCAGATAAATTCAAAACTTTTTCAAGGCCTAATCCACAGGAGCTAAGGAAAGCTATTTAACACTGAATCAAATGTTCCAGACTGATTTATCTTTAACACCTACCTAAAGGAAAAGCACATGATGAAAATTGCTTGGGCTCAACTGTTGTGTACATGCCTGAACATTCTTTTTCCTTTGAGCTAAAGTCAACAGTTAAATAATACTTTGAAGGTAATACTCACAAAAAAAGTTTAACTTTTATGTAGCTGCTGTCAGTCAAAGAATTTATGGATGAGGTCAGACAAATTTTTTTGTATTATAACATTGTGCTTGAGCAGTCATGAAAACATTCCTCTTATTTTGGAACATTTTTCTTTTTCTCTCAGTACACTGCAATAAACAGGTCACTAACTAATCACTTACAAATAGTTTGCCTGATATTTACTGTGAGTTTTCTCTGCAGACCAGCTAAGATAATTTTTAATGTTAACGGTTTGGCTTTACTTACGGCACTCTGAGTTTGGGAAATTTCTGAATATCATTTTCAGACATGTTCTGAAAGGAAACACATGGTATATATATCACAAAATTGTCCATGAAACACCCTGTGACTTACAGAAGTTTGCATATTCAAAAATGCAGCATGAAATTTCAACTGTTAGGAGTATAAAGTGCATAGAAAAGAAATGCAAGATAATAGCCTGCCCATCCCATGGCCCATAAGAGAAGTGAACCCATTTTAATAAAAAAATCCTCTCTATTTTTTCTGTTTTGCTGGATGTTGGTTTTTACTTTATGTTGCTGCCAGTTGTATTAAACTAGCTAGGAGGTTAATAAACATCATGTGAATTTGTTTACACACAAAGGACTTCAACAAAATAATCACATCAAACTTCAAAGACAAGTGTTTCTGTAGCTAGAATGTTTTATTGATAGCTTGTTAAAAAGATCGGTAAGGAGAAGTAAAATCTTAAACCAGCTCCTACCAGATGAGAGTTGAGTAAATTTGTTTGTTTACCAGCAGATGAGCCATTATTCCAGAATTAATTTCAAATTAATGGGGCTCTGTGCAAAGATAATTTATTTTTCTAATTTGGGTTCTAATCCAGGTCTTTGTTGGTGTTATATTGTCACATCGACATACAGGCAAGGTTAAAATCCCTGCTCTGCTTTTAAAAAGAACTGGAAATAAAACCCTCTTCTGCAACAGCTTTCTCCTTAGAGATTTTCAGAGATATCTAAGCTAAAGCAGGTGAACAGGCAGTAAACCATTTTTAAGTATTCTATTTAATTTAATTTTTTTTTTCTTTTCATTCTCTTGCTTTCTGAATATTGCTTTTCACTGTGCATTGCCATCACCTAGCATACAGGAAAACATATCCTCCATGTATTTATTATTAAAGAAGTCTTGAGATACTATAATTCATTTCGGTGGACAGTGTCAAACAATTAATACAGAGCTACATCCTGGTAACGTCCAGTGCTACTGATTGTGGGTGTGAGCTCAACAAAACATGCATGGTCTGCTTGGAATCATCAGCAGTGACATTCTTCCTGGCAATTTTGGAATTATGCTTCTCACAGTAAATATTTCAGAATATTTCAAATGCTTTTTTAAACACTTGCAGCTTTAAGGCAATGTGCAATGAAATGTCCTTTATAAAGGACTGTTCTGGTAGGGACGGCAAACTTCTACCATGGATTCTGATTTTATGCTATTGTGTTCCACATCTTTTTAGTATAGCTAAAAAATACGGTATTTAAGTGACTTCAGAAGCTAGATCTATTGAATTCCTTCATGTCTGCATAGTGAAATCAGGCAGAGTTGTGCATGATTGCAAAGTTTCAGGGTAAAACTGTAAGTTTTAAAATAGAGCACAATTTGCTGGAGTTTTGTATTTTATCTGTAACATCACAGTGTATGTAAAATCACATGTTCTAGTGGCGATGTAGCTGGAAAACTCCTTGGACTTAAGAGCAGCCTTGGCAGCCTAACAAAAACCTTTCTAGAAACTGGGATGGGGGGAGAGTATTTCTTCCCCCTTCGGCCATAATAAAGCAATTAGGTTGCACATTACTCCTGACCTGAGCTGAGATTTGCTAAATCTTGAGAACTTTACCCATGCTCCTGCAGAGACACTTGGCCCCTCTCTTCGTCCATCATGTGCAACTCCAAGTTTAGGACAAACTAGAGCATTATGAAAACTTTTGAGAAAGTGTTTTGTTTAGTTAATCACAAACTTTGCAAACTGTCTTTGGAATACGGATGGTAGTCTGGTTCTGTCTGTCTGTCTTACTGCTAACAGTAAGAAGTTTCTAATTACACATTGGTTCAGAATGCTAGCATTGATTTTTCAGGACAGAACAAATCCTATCCGTGTTTTCCAGCACTATTTTGCCTCTGGGAGTACTCACAGGCGTAAAACACAGAAAAAATGTACTCCCTTTATGGAAATGTCCTGCAGGATTTACTGAAGAATCGTAATTTTTTCTAAAGACTTTTTAAGCTTCTCTCTGGAATTCTATTCTGGTGATAAACCTGACAAATATTATGGGTTTAAACTCTCACAAAAGGGCAATGTTGCCATTTTAAATATTGGAGAATTTTATTTGAATAAGTTACATGGAATCCCTCTGGTTTTATTCCTGCTACATCTCAACTGGACTTTCCTTGGGGTAGTCTGTAGATACAGAAATGTGACTTTGAAACTAGGATGTTATTCTGATGAATAAGACAGCAATATTTTTGCAGTCAGGTTTACCGTATAGATCTGACAATAGATACAAAACCTGCAAAGACTCAGTCTTAACAGTTTCTTCTGTGCGAATGTAATTTGGCAGTTTCCAACAACTTACAAAATGTAAAAAGATATTTCTTAGAAAAACCATTCATGCAGAGAAGCATTTTTTTTTCAAGTTTGTGTTGTACTCTAGAATATTCCACTTACAGTCTCCTTTTGTTGTTCTGTTTAACAGGTGAACCTTGAACCTTTTTTTGCATTATACAATTGACAAGTAGGTCAAAAGCTTGAAAAAAAGTCTCAGGAGACATGAGCAGCTGCTTGCTTACTTAATAGAAAAACATCCTTTGAATCTACTAGGATGCTTCTGAAGAATTGCTGCACTCTGAGCTGTGTATTTACAGAAACACTCTGGTAATAATAAGAAATTATAAAAATCACTTAGGAATCACACACTTCTTGCTCTTGTTATTTGTGCCTCACAAACTTCCAGAATTTCATAATGCTTCCAGAGCCAGAACTCCCACTCCAGCCACAGATCCTTAGTGCTTAAGCTAAGGAGAATCTCTTAGGGGTTAGTAGGATAAATCCTATGACATACATCTGAATAATTTTGACTCCACCCAGTTGGAGGGAGGTGTAATATCCTGCTCTGACAAAAGGTGTTTGAAAATTTTTATGTTGCATTTCAATGAAATGACAAAAATCTTGATACATGAAGACAAGTTAATAGAACATAATGCTTTAGAAGAGGTATGCATAGATTTCCCCACTATGACTAATTACACAGATGATCAAAATGACTACTTTTGGGGAAAACAGAATAGGTAATATTTGGAAATAAAATGGAAGTAAAATGAAGTAATAATAAAAGCCCTTACACTTCCCCATGGATGTGTATTTAAGACCTGAAAACAGCCACTATGTCAATGGAAGTTGTCAGCTTTTCTAAAGTTAAGCCAAGTTGTTGGTAAAGCCTGGAGCAATGTTGATTTAAACCCACTGGGACTTTGCTTACTCGTTCTGGTGCTCTTCAAGTTCATTGATTTTGTGTATTGCTGCAGAAGAAATCTAATGTTAACTATAGAGGCATGAAACAGTGATTGTAATAGAAAGCTATAGTCATTCTGACCAGGTCCATGTCTTCTTTAGTAGGAGAAGACTATTACTACAAATACACTATAAATCTGAGTTTTCTGTAGTTAGTATTTGAAAACAAGCACTTCCTATAAAGAGAGAGATTAATTCAAGAAAAGACTGTCATTTTATAACTTCCTTGTTACTTTAAAAAATACTAAAATACATGCATATTAAACAACATGCTTGGGTTCCCAGCATTCCATATTTGAAGCAAGATGTCTGGCTGGTTTTACCAAAGGCATTTACTTCTCATATTTATACCTCAGTAACCATCTGCGAGCTAAGGACTTTGCATCTGCCAATGCAAAGTAAGGAGGAGTTGAAACAATCACTTGATTGGAATTTTACAGGAAGGAGTTTTACAACTCTACTTACCAAAAACCTTTGTCCATTTATGCTGTGCTTTCTCACAACTTTCTCACAGTCCTTATACTTTAACTGTCAATGAAAAGAAGATGATTATTGCACCCTACATTGTAACAATGGATTAAGACGCTTAGACATATGGCTAGCTTTGAGTAGATGCTTCGAGTTACCTTTTTTAAGCTAGAAATATTTGGAAAATAGATAGTTGTGGTACTGACTGGGATGAACTCTTGTGGAAGACAGGAAATACAGCAAAAACCTACTATCTTGGAATACTGAAGCCCTGATTCCAGTTGCTGAATTAATGTTGTGATTGAAAAGCTTCCTCTTCTGGATGGAAATTTCACTTGTTAGTCCTGGAAATCATCTGTAATATTTGGAAAGCTTTTCCACGATATTATGTTTTACAGTAGCATCTAGGACAAAGGCATGCATTTTAGAAGTTGATCACATACATAAGAAAAGAAAGCTCCCAGTCCTACCAGGCAAAAATTTACCAGTAATTTGGGGGACTTAAGAAGGAAAGAAGGAAAGAAGGAAAGAAGGAAAGAAGGAAGGAAGGAAGGAAGGAAGGAAGGAAGGAAGGAAGGAAGGAAGGAAGGAAGGAAGGAAGGAAGGAAGGAAGGAAGGAAGGAAGGAAGGGACAGAGAGACACCTGAAAAACTAGGCACATTTAGCACGACATGACTCTTGAAGATTTCCAGTGGGTGTCTTAAGTGGTTTTTTTTATTTGAATAGTAATAGCATAATATGAAAACACAGCTTATATTTTTGATCTGGGTAGAATGTTTTTTTTCTGTTTCAAGCTGATCAAGTCCATACCAGAAGGAACTCAAAGAGCGGGCAGACAAAGTGACTTTTTTGGAGCCTCCAAGACAGAAGAATGGCTCTGGTCCTGCCTGAAACTTTAGTTAGTGAAAGTTATGCAGACAAATGATCCTGTGGTGCTGGGATAAATCCCCTAAAGCAGAGAACACCTTATAGGGAGCATTATATTCTTTCTTAGTTCTATCCTATTTATTCATTTTAAGGAGTAATCTTGTAACTGGGTATTACATGAGAACAGATCCTGAAAACATTTGAACAGCTGAGAGAATATTTTTAGGAGCCACCTTCAGTTACTCATATGCAGAAACAGACCTACTCTGCTAAATATTTTAGCAGATTCAGACTTTTGCGCAGACTGAGGACTTAATCCTGTAAATAACATCTCTTTTATATAGTGAGCGCTATCATGACATTACCAGCACAAGTCTGTATGCAGCAGTGAGCAACTGCTATACTCAGTAGAACACTTCAGTGTGACTGAGACCTGATCTCATTCCGAAAGTAATTGATGAAAAATACTGTTTAGCTCTTTAAAATAACCCTGGGGTTATTACAAATATGAACAGCTTTGCTTTTTCTAAAATAAATTTAAAGTCTTTAGAATTATTTGAAAGTTTAGTTCCTTATTGGTCCTTCCCTATTTTGAATGCATGGTTTAAATTAACACAGGCTTTAAGTTAACACACCTAGAACCATGTTATTACTAAGTATGAAGAATTCTTATTTGACAGAAACTGAGGACTTTATTCATGCCAGTAAACATCATAGTATTGTTACATAAATTACTGATGTTAAGCTGGCTGAATTTTGCTAATCTGAAGGTGTAGGCTAACAATGAATTGGCAAAAATCTTACCACTGCCCTGTGTCATGACCAACCACTTCAGATGAGAGAAGATTTGAATGTGATTTTCCTTTGAAAATCATCCCACAATTATCTCAATTTAGAGGGGAAAAAAAAGAAAAAATTGCTTGTCCCTCTTGGACTTGAATCCTGGACTTTGAACATATGTCTGCAGGCAAAATATATTAGTCAGATGCAAATAAAGCAGTCCTAATGGTATGTGTGAGGGAAGTTGTATGAGTTTATCTGGGGAGAAGATCTGGTCACTTGTGGCAGTTGCCCAGAGCTGGCTGACTTAGGCTGACATTATTGTTTTACACAGATGTCTCAGATGACTTGAAGTAGCTTTTTCCCTAATTCACCTCCCCAAAAGTGGAATGCCAAGATTATCTCTATTATGAAGGGTATCTGGATCAGTAGAGGGGAGGTAGTCAAAAATTAATGGCACCAGGCCCAGTCAGTTATGACAGAACTTACAGTTAATCCTTTTATCACTGTTAAGAATATCATTATCAACTCTTTCAGGAAGCCATTTCCCCTCTTAGTCTCTTGGAAATGGTGATCCAAACCACCATGCACCAAAGTTCTAATGTTTTTCCTATTTGTCTGAAGCTGCCTGTTGATAATGATCTCATCTGTTCCATCTCTAATTCTTCATTTCATTTTCCTGTGTCACTAACCCCTGCACCCTAAAATTAGAGGTTTGCAAGTAGTTGGCAGTTTCACTTCTCTGGAGATTTGGTAGACATAGACTTTGTGTGTGATCTGCTTATCTTTATTAGCTAGTTTTGCATTCTAGTATCAAACTTGCCTCAACTCCCCAAAGAAAACTCTCACAGTGTTATAGGAGCTGTTGAAACAATAAATTTCGTATGATTTCAAAATGAAGCCCAAACTGTTCCAGGTTTTACAAGTCTAGTCTGACAGCTGTCTTGAAAATGAACCAGCTATGCTGGCATTACTTGAAAATCTTCCCAAATCTTCTGATTGATCTGAATGTTACATTCTAGACTGACAGTTTTGGACTCTGGGAGGAACGTATTCAGTTGCAAAGCAGATGAAGCAGGCACTATCTATCTCTGATGTGAATTGAAAAATGAGCAATTTACAGAGAACACAGAGAAACGAAATTTGAGTAAAATCAGCTTAGTTACACATTCCTGAGTGTTTACAAATGTGCCAGCTTTGCTGTGCAGAGGCTATATACTGGCAGTGAATTCCTGTATTGCCTTTCAAAGTATTTGTTCAGTGTGAAAACTCCTCTGCATTGTAAAATGAAATTTATAGATCATCACAAGTGAAAAAGGTGTCAAAAGAAACAGAAGTTCCTAGCTACTCACACAAGGTAATGTCAGAAAAAGTAACATTTACAGGAAAAAAGGGGTAGCTAGTAATCTTGAGCCATGAGTTTTGCCCAAGAATTTTTAGAATAGGAAAATCAAACCAAAAGGTGAAAGGTTTTTCCAGCTGAGCCTAAAAAAATCAGGAGTTTGTATATCCACAACTGTGAAATTCCTGGCTGGGTTCTCATGGATGTGATTACCAAAGACATTGAGAGGCTTATTTGTGAACATTGAGCAATTTGAAAAAAACTCTCCTCTGAAAATCATTAAAGAAGACCTAGAAAACTTGTAATCTTCACACATTAATGCCTTTTGCAGCTGTTAATATATGTTATATCAACATTTGTTGTAGTAAAGTGTATATTTCCTCTGAAAAGCCGTGAGTTTCTCTTAAACCCAATTTAAAACACACTTTCAAGACTCATTTATAGATTTCACTGGCAGGTTTAGCTCAGCTTCTTAATTGTCAGTGGTTTTGCTTTTAGTTTTGCAGCAAGGTTTGCCCATTATAAAACACGTACATTTAGCGCAAACAATGTTACGGTAGTTTGCTCCTCCATCGTACAAAGACAAAACACAGTTAAACTTACCATCCTAAAATATTCTGCTAAGTCATCTGCATTCCACGTAACCACGTCTGAACGGTAGGGAATGTTTCGTAAATCCATCGTAACTTTTCTCCTCTAGGCAGTTAGAGAACATTCATAGCAGTACTATCGATGAAACAGCCATATATTCCCTGCGCATGATCACCTCCAGTGTGTCCAGTAATTCCTTGCCTAATACCCAGCTGCTTCTGTTTAAGACTGTGTTGTTTTGGTTTTTTTTAATTTAGAACTACGTTGTTAGGACATCCAAGAGAGACACTGCTTCCTCTAACACAAAATGGTCTCTTCTCAGAAAAGTTGTCAGCTAGTCAGCCTTACCACTTCCTTTGTCTGAATATAAATAAGTAAACAAGGAAGCACAGCAAAGTGTTGAAAATGTTCTGCCTGCTACATATAAGTAAGCTCTTATGGACCCTATTTGCTTGTAATTTCATACATAAATATTTACATATTTACACATTCTGTACAGTATAAAAATATTGTCATATTTTGCATAGACAACATTGTCATATTCTGCATAGACGTTGGTTACCGCGTCTGTGCAAGCCTAGCCCAGGCAAGCCCCCCTCCAAAGAAGAAAATGTTCACTTAAGAGAAACTTCCTCAACTTACCTCACTACCTAAAGTGTCACCTTATCTTTCTTTGATTTGTACAACAATGAAAGGTTATTGTTGGAGTTGTACATAAGGAGGCATGCATGAATTAGGGATGGAATTACAGTCAGCATTCCTTCAAATAAGGAATCTCTCAGTGAAACTAAAAAATGGACAAGCTTAGATGAAAAATTATTACATTGTCATTGTTTCAGTGCTCCATTTTTCAGCTACCTCTAATGAAGATTTTTGTGTCTGAAAAAGAATCCACAGAAGCATAATATTACTACAGGGACATGATAGACTGCATCTGTCATGTATAGCCAATTCAGACACCATCCTATCAGTAGGTCCCTTTGGTGAGGCTACATTTAGTAATTCCAAATGTGCTCATTTTATTAAAAAAGCCAGCATGTCCATTCTCCCTCCTCTTACTGTGGAGCTTCCTCCCAAAGTTGTGCTAGTACGAATGCTTGAGGTCACTGTTCACATCTGCTCCAGCAGACTGCACAAAAGGTGCTATTTTGTGAGCTTCCTCTATTAGTAAGAGTAGATGCATAGTTCTGAAGCACTGGAAAGGAAAGTTTCTCTTCTTTCTAATGAAATGCATCACTCTTGTTATTTCTAGTCATTGAAGACCTTCTAACCTTGGGTCTGTAATTTGCAAGTGCATTGCATATGAGTGCATGTATTTGAGATCATATCTACAAGTCTCTATAATATTGTGTATAAGAGCTTTCCTTTAGAAATTCAGAGTCTGGTTTAAAGTAGCTTACTTTTTCTGGGGAGATTTTGGTAAATGATAGCATGGTATTTAAAACTCTAAAACTAAACGGCTGTAGCAGCTGTTCTAAACAGTGTAGCGTGTATCAAACACATGATATAGCTGTGGTTTATGGGTTTGTATTTGAAATGACCTGTATGAATCATCTGAGGCATGTACTGACAGTATCACAGAAATGTCATCACCTCTTCACTGTAAATCTAGGGAATTAAATAGGACTAAATTAACTTGTGACAAACAATCCCCAAAAGAGAAGTTGTTTTGGTGGTGTTTTATCAGCAGCGGTAAAGGAGAGATTACACAGCATACATCTGAGACACCCAATCACACACCATGTCTTTCAACAGAGAAACAAGTTTCTTGCAGTACAGAGACAGGAAGAAGCCTGTGCTATAACTTATAATTGTTCGTTCTATTACAGTATTTCTAATCTAATTTCTATCCCAAATCCAGTGTAGCAGCTCCAATTTCAGTTGTATTATTCCTTATTTGTATTAATATAAAACTAATTAGTCTGGTCAAAGTTTATCCTGATGATGTTATAGAAGAATCATACCATCACATTTATTCTGATGCTGAGACAGGAGAAAAGCAGTCACCTTTAAAGTGAGTCTCCTAGTCTAGAGAGCAACTAACACAGAAATTCTAACACATTTATCTAATCATTATTATTTGCTTGGATCCTGTCTATGTCACCATGAGTACATTATAGCTACATGCATATTTCACGCATTTTGCAAAACCCAGCTGCACACGTACTTGAGCTTTGTCTTTGTCTAGAACTTCTTTTGTAATGTGATAAACGCATAGGATGTGGTGGCCAAGTGAGGCTTGCTGAGGATCACTTTGTATTTTCTACATTTGACTTTTCAGATACTCTGCTAGATTAGTCTTAACAATTTTAAATTGCATTTCCAACCTATGTAGGTATTTGAACGTATCAATGGAAAATGTTGTTCATCTTGCAGATAACCATGTATGAGTCATGGCCTCCAGTCCCTATCAGACTGCAGAGAGTTGTTTTGAAAGACGCTTTTAAATGTCTGTCTGTGTGGCCCAGAAATGCAGTGTGGCGAATCCCATGTTCCACAGAAGGAAAATCTTGATCTCGCACAAAAGACTCCACATTATTTCCTCACTCTTCTAATGGTTCTCCTGTTCACTTTTCCAGTGATTTTCCCACTTGTTTATTATTTCTTTCTCTTTTCAGAGTCACTATTGTTACCTCCAGAATTAGCATTTTCTCCCAGGTGCTCCTGTTGCCTCCAGTGTCCTCTGCTCAGACAGGCAATTCCAACACTGATGGTCACAAAGAAAGGAAATCAAGAGAGAAAAAGTTGAATGTGCACACTTGTGCAAGCCCACATGCCAGAATCTCTAGTCAGATTTGGGTAGGAATGTAAGGGAGGATGTCGGGGAAGCAACCACATCTGATTTTTACAGAGGAAGACAGAAGCAGGGATAGCATTAGGGTGACACTCCTGACTGTCTGCTGGGAATGATCACATGCTTTGAATCTTAGTATTCAATCTTATATTGCAAGAAATGAAGACACAATAAGTAGGCAGCACAAGATACATCTATTCCATAATATAATTTGTTATATACTTCAGTTGGCAATTTTCCATGAAATGGATTTTAAGTTCTTAGATTTTCAAATGCTGAGAAACATTGACATTAGAACTATTATCACATGCATGCCTTTTCTGTTGTGACTTTTTTTTTTTTCCCTCTTTTTAAAGAATTAGGTCTTTTATAGTTGATGCCTGCAGTGGTACAACCTTCATATAAAAAATGTGTCTCTTCAAATAACGGCTGCCAATGGCACAGTTCTTTCAGATGTAGCGATTGTCTGGTGACTGATCTTTGAAAATGTGAGAGTCTAACCATTTCAGGCACTACAGGAGGGAAATTCACACTGCCCACATTCTGCTGCCTTCAAAGAGCCTCAATATTTTCCATTTTCTCTCACCTTTCTGGTGGTCTGTTCCACAGCACCCTGTTCTAAGTGAAGCCAAGGGCTTACTTTGAACAGCTTTGAGAATGGCTTATTTTTCTAGAATAACTCAGTTTATGTGTCTTTTCTTTCCTAGAGCGAAGAAAAAAAGTTCAAACTTCATAAGAATTTAGTCTTCACGTTCATCTCAGTCCCGAAGCAACGTGGATCTTTATGCCATGTTTTTCTTTTGCCCTGCCCATTTTTTTTTTTAAAGACTTGGGTACTTTATTCCTTTTATCCTGGGACGATTTACCATTGCCAGCCTATATATGGTTTCATTTTTACACCCTTTAAAAATCACCGTGGTATTGTTATATATTCTTTGCTGTCTTTAATAATCACTGAGCCACACTTTGTACTCCTCAAATGTTCTTATCCATTATTTCCTTAATTCTTATAGTCAAGTGTTAACCTTGACTTTGCAATGTCTGTGCATTAATACAAGGTCCAACACTGAGTCTTTGCCAGCTGAAAAAAACTCTTTTCATAGAATCATAGAATGGTTTGGGTTGGAAGGGACCTTAAAGATCATCTAGTTCCAACCCCCCTGCTGTGGGCAGGGACACCCTCCACTAGACCACATTGCCCAAAGCCTCATCCAACCTGGCCTT